CGTGTAATAAATCATTTTCGTTTCGTTCGAATGTTGGTGACTACGTTTCCAGAAAATATAGTCAATATTGCCCCTTAAACGATGCTACGCCAACTTATCTGTAGTGCAACGTAAACAGTTTTACAGGATCTTTCTTCTGGAGTGCAGTAATCGCTAAATCTAAGGGGGAGAGACGTATTGAAAATTCATTTAAAAAAAGGTTATCGAACAATGAGACATTTCACAATCAAATATTTTTAGCCGCGTCATAGCGGTTCATAGAATGGCTCTGTGTTTGTTTGTTTTTTCAAGTGTAAATTTTTAGCTCATAGCTCCGTCATCTCTTGACCGATTTGAGATCTAATTACAGTTATGGACTCAGGAGGTCAAACCTTTTCTACTGATGTATTTTACCACGCCCAATGTCTCATAATATACTCTTAACGTGCCTAAAAGAATTTCAATTTGAGGGTAGGCTGGTCGGGTATACGCGCGCCCCATGCTTAGTATTACTGGCGCTCAAAAATATAGCTAATAAAAAGGAAAATACGGGTCTCATAGATTAATTTACTCTATTCCAACCTAAAAGAATTTCAAATGCCGTGGCTATTGAAGATTCCCTCTTGTTTTTAAAAATTCGGCTTCACTGAAGCCTAAGATGGAGAAGCTGATATAATTTTTGAAAGACAGTTCATAAAAACCGCCTTCTAAAATTTTCAAGATTTTCGTTTTCTCGAGAAAACTGGGAAACTTAATTTTATTCCTTTGCGAAATTCTTCGTAAAAACTGTTTCATCCATTTCATCCACTGTAAAAATATCGTATTTTAAAGATCGTAAATAATATATGTAGACTAATAAAACAGGAATTAATTATTAATGTGTACATGAGAGTGCCCCAGATAAAAGAGGTCAGCTTCCAGTTTATAACCTATCCTTTCGCGAGGCTCCCCAGTGGCACAGTGGTATGTCTGCGGACTTACAACCCTAGAATCTGGGTTTCGATACCCGTGGTGGGCAGAGCACAGATAGCCCATTGTGTAGCTTTGCGTGAGATGTTTAAAATTATCAGTTCTCTTGAAATGTTGTTTATGCAGTTCGTCCTTGAGAGGTGCTAGATCAGGTTTGTATGGGGTGAAGAGGAAAGACTACCTCTCAGAACTTTGCTGTTGCAGCTGTTACATGACGAGAAATATAGAACCTGATGTTATCACATGGCCAGTGGTAACTTATCTGGCGCCCCAGTGGCAGAACTTAATGCTGCGCCCCAACACACACTAGAACCTCCGAGTATATGGTTCCCTGGGCACCTGCCTGTGTTACCTACCTTTAACGCCTGGCCTGCATGAGTGGAAAATGATAACTCTCGCTATTCACTAACTCAATTCAGTTAACTCAATTTCAGACTATATAATTCTGTTGTTACGTATTAGAATTTCAAATAGTCTGAAATTGAGTTAACTGATAAATTAAAATTTAGTAGTTAAATTGTATTTTGGATTTAGTAGTTAAATTAAAGCCGATATATAGTCAGTTTGTAATATTTGCCAACAAAATTGATACATAGTTTTCTTTTTTTAACAC